GGCGCGGGCAAGAAAGTGGAAAAATAAGAAAGCCACTCACCAAGGTCTCGCTGCACTAGACCACCGAGACAAAAAAGAAAGGGGTTGTATTTGTCCACTGTCTAGAGGAAGATTCATTCGCATTTTGCACATTTGCTGAGGAGTGGAGCAAGGGCCCAAGTAGGGGAAAGGAATGAAACTCAACCCAGAACATGGAAAGGTACGTCTCTACTTTAGTTTTACCTTTTTGCCAAGGCTTTGAGGCCCCCGGCCGTGGTCCAGAACTGAGCCTACTCAGCCTGGACTCGACCCCCTTGAGCAGGCAAAGTAGGTCTCGTTCACTCGAGCATAACGCATATGCGTTGTAAACAAATACAACGCACCGTATGCGTTCTATTCGTTTACAACGCATATGCCTTATGTTCGAGGGAAGACGGTAGCTAAGCGCCCGCAGAAATAACAAATGCAGTGGGTGCCCCCACACACTGACTGCTCCCATAAACTCGGGGCGGACATGGGTCCGCCCTTTCTTTTTTTTTTAAATAAATGAGAAAGAGGGGGGACACCACGAGAAAAAGAACGGCCTGCCAGGGGGCACAAAACGACAGTCACAGCCACGCGAGAAATGAAAAAAGGGGCACCGGTTCACGACACAAATTAGCGCTCGGTTCCGCCGCTGCCTGCTTTGTCTGGCCTGGACGCCAAGCACCTGCAAACGCAGTGCTTTGCTAGGTTATCCCCCACCTAGCACAACAACTGTCTGCCGGTTATGGTGGTTGTGTTCCAACCCTAGTAACACCCTGACACTGTAATTGGCTCACTTACGTGGATTGTACTTCAACCACTGTAATCGGCCTATTTTCAAAGTCGTGCAAGCAAGTGAAAGTTGTCAAGTCGCACTATGGAGGACGGCGGGCCACAAGAGGACCGCGCCAAGCAGAAGCAAGGAACATCAGATCAACCTCATATGGATGATGTATGTATTATTGGAACAGAAGTAGGGGGAGGAGACAGAGCTTAACAGCCCCAGGGAGTGGAAGAGGAAGGTCAACATCATCAAAATAGGTCTCCACCTCCAGCAGTTACCAACTACGGGCGGAAGAGGAATGGGTGAGGAATATGCTCGCCCAGTGCTTTGACGCCGGGATCATGCCAATTGGTTGGGATATAGGGGAGATGATAAAAGAAAGCACTTCGGCCCACTTCACTTTAAATACATCCTTGGATGAAATTAAAGTGAATTGGCTGAAAGAACGTACATTCACTGTAATCTTTCAGGAAGGTTTTAAGAACCTTCCCAAGAAGATTAAGCCACCAGTACCTCGCTCAGCTATTGATTCCGAGCCTGAATTGCCTTTACGCGCCAATTCCTCATGAGCCTGTATTTGACACTGAGATAAAAGATTTTCACTGATTTAAGATGATCACTTAAAAATGACATTATTTTGGACAAAGTAGAGCATGCTGAGCAAATTAGCAAGGTCACATCTGAATATTTTATAAAGGTAATAAACCTAACCATAAATAAGATATGTGACCGCACAAGTTGCAAATTGGATTGTTGTTTTGATTTTTTTTTTTTTTATTACTAAATGATTCATTTTGTTAAATCAATCCGAATACAACTGCAACGATGCAACTTCTAAGTAGTACATTTAATTACTGACTCATTGAGGTTATCATGTGACGTTATTAATTATTATTATTATGCCCTTAATTGAGAATATATGTGAGGTTATTATGTGAGGTTGTGATGATGTGCTCAACAAAATTATATCACTTGAAAGGAGAAACTTATTAAAGCGTCAATTATAAAACTTCAAGGAGAGAATGACAAACATATTAATAAATGTCGTATTGATTTTGTGTTTGTACTTGTAACGTGTACTGAATGTATAATGAATAAAGAAGTAACACTGTCGATTTGAGTGATGTGGTAGTAGGATAATGTGTTTCCAACCAATGGGTCAATTAAGTGTCCATAAATTTTGTGTTGAGTATGTCTTCTCAATATACAATGAGATGAGTTGTTTAGTCATAGTGATTGGGTGATTTGATGTTTAAATTTGAAAGAGTTTGGCATCATGAGTTGTTTAAAAATCTTGATTCAAAAATTGAATCCCGGCTTGAAGTGACCGGGTTCCTTATATCACTCGTGTTTTTTCGGAAGAGTTTGGCATCATGAGGGTTGATCCATTTTTTTTTTAGTTGTTACATATTACGTGAAAATATATGTAACATTTTTCAGAGAACACTTGCATATTGCGCGGATTCTCTTTCTCCATTTGCGGAGCACAGGATCACGCTTGTGCCCCAACTTCACCTCAGGCTTTATGCCCCATCCTATGACAAAGATGGCACCTCCTACAACACAAATGTAAGAAAGATGTTATGGCTCACACGACAAATTCATCCCTTTCATCCCCAAAATACATCCTTTCCATGCCAGAGGTTTTCTACTGGTTGATTGATTTGATATTTTCTCGTGGACAATCCTCTCATATTCAAATCTCACCTTGGTCCCATATTCTGCAACACATGTCATATGGGATGCATAATGTATCTATCATGATGTGCGGTGCAAGAATGAGAGTTCTTGTTTGCATTGTGACTCGATGCTTTGCTGCCAAGGTGCAATGTGTTGTTTCTTGTTACTTGATGGGAGTTACATACCATTTCTCAATTATTTTCCAAGATTGGTGCCAAAGTAAGCGCTTTTTTTCACCTGTGGACTTCCCGAAAAATAGTCGTGCAGTGCACACTTCCGGAAAGCTGTGCGTCAATGGTTGCAGTCAGCGTGCCCAAATGGACACACTGCCATCCACATCATAGTGTGTTTTTTCCACTTTTCATCTGCGCACATCACCCGAAAAGGTACTACAGGCCTTTTTTTTATGAGAGATACCCCCTCTTGCCCCTCCCCCTAGTGGCAAATATGTCTGTATACAACTGAGCCTTAAGTTGGACCCCCCCCTCCCCCCCTCCCCCCCCTTCTGGAGCTGATGCAAGAAGTTTTGGTTTTTTTCCTCGAGCTTCATCCGCTTTCAAAAACGCTTGGTTGAAACCCCTATCGGTTCTGATCCGGACCAGATCCATAACGGTACTGAACTTGAACAGCACACTGATCAGACGCCCCCCATCACAATCCTTGCTTTTGCAAGTGTCTCCCCACTCCATCAGACTTGATCATCGCCATAAAGGGCTTAGACACCAGTTGTCTGGTTTCCTCTTAGCGGTAGGGCGTGTGAGAGTTCGCTCCCATCTGGACAAATTCCGGAAACACTTGCGCACATACTGCGCTTATCGCAAAGCAATGGTCATCTGGATGTGATGGCATAACTGTTGGAAGGATCACGGGCGAAGATTTATGGCCTTAGGAGTGACACTTTGCTCTCCTGGCTGCTGACAACCCTGGCACATAGAGAAAATGTTGTACACAAACGATTAAACCACCACTCCCCCCATTGTCGAAAAATTGGTTTTTCGAGACCTTCGGAGGCCGGTAGCCAGGAAGTTGCGGGGATAGCGGTTGGTGGTTCAAACCATCAGTACCTTTCCCAGCTATTGTTCAGAAGTGCGCCTCGGTAACGGCCACCGTTGATAGATTTCATCGGCAACCATTGTCGCATTTCGGGCCTCCGAAAGTCGCGGTTCGGCGCCCCCGCCTGATGTGTGGGCGAGGTACTCGTGGTTTAAACCACCAGTACCCCAGGGGGTCTTAGGCCCCACTCTGGGGAGGCTCTGATGCAAATGCATATGGACCCGTGCGGCGCACCGATTCAGCCAGTGGCACCGCATTAACGGCCTAAAAACGTCCAGGTACTGCAGTGGTTTAACCGCATCAATTTCAACGAACTAACTACCCATCATGGTCAGAGGTAGCTTGAATACTGACTGACAAGGGTTTGGAAATCATGCAAATGACAAAATTTAAGCTGGGTTTGGAAACAGACGATCTCCAACTGGCATTCTGGCCTCAGCCCGGGAGGGACTTGAATGACCCATCCTGGCACGCTGCTGCTCGGGCGGGCTGCCGGATGCTGGGCCCGGTTCTCAGCAGGTGTAGCTCCCCACCAATAGATGGAGCAGCCCAACGGGAAAACCCTCAATCCTGTCGGTTCTCTCACCACCACAGAGATAGTGGGTTTTCGAAGGGCTTTTGTTAAAAAAAATATTTTTTTTTGGGTTACTTGAAAATGGCAAAGCTGCCCCAAGAAGAGG